ACACTTTAACATCAGATCTACCCTCCTAGTAAATTTTTAAGTATACAATATATATTGTTAAGTGTAGGCCCTATGCTGTACAGCAGATCTCTAGGAGTTATGCATCTGATGTAGTTGAAACTTTATACCTGTCAACTAATTCCTCCCTGTTTTCTTCTCCCATCAGCTCCTGGTAACCATCTATCCACTTTATGCTTCTATGAGTTTGACTATTTTAGATTCATCATATAAATGGTATCATGTACTCTTCTTCTCTATATCTGGCTTATTTCTCTTAGCATAACGTTCCCCAGGTTTGTCCGTGTTGTTACACATAGCAAGATTTCCTTCTTTTTGAAGGCTGAATAATATTCCATTGTATTTATAGGCCACATTTTCTTCATACATTTATCCATCAGTGGACATTTAGGTTGCTTCCATGTCTTGGCTATCGGGAATAATATTGCAGTGAACATTGGAGTTCAGATATTTCTTTGAGATTCTAATTTCAATTCCTTTGGATATATACCCACACGTGGGACTGCTAGATCATATAGTGGTTCTGTTTTTAATTTTTTGTGGCACCTCCATGCTGTTTTCCACAGTGGCTTCATCGATTTAATTTCCACCAATAGCATACAAGGTTTCCCTTTTCTCCACATCCTTGACAACATTTGTTGTATATATGTGTATATATATATTTATGTATATATATATTTACCTGTATAAAGTGGAATTCAGTCCTTGCTCTTTGAATGTCTGACTTGTCTGCCTGACTGTCAGCTCCATGGGGCAAATACCCAGGTGAGCACTGTGCTGGCCACATGGCAGGGACCCAACCAGAGCATATTTCTTGAATGAATAATATTATTTATAAGACAGATTGTTAAAAATGAGTAAGAAGGTTGTTAATTCCTGAGAGTTTCATAAATGATAACTCCTCTGTCCAAAGAGCTGCTGCTTTGCCAATTACTCCTAGGGAATTCTGCTCCTGTTTGCTCTCATTCCATCGAGATGTGAAAGGTGACCATTTCAGAATCCTATTGATGTTCAACCTGGCTCCCTTGTGAGATAGTCAAGCTCAAAAGATTCTCAAAGTGGTTTTCTGGGAAAATATCCTACTGGCAAGATAGATTGAATTCATTCTGATGCCTTTTGTTGTTTTCCTGGTTGACCACTGTCTTCCTATGAAACTGTGAACCCATTTCACCCAACTTGTCTTTAGAGGGCTACCCAATGCCCGGGCTCCACATTTGCCAGGCCCCAATGCAGGGAGTGAATGCCTACAGGCCATGTGTTCTAACCCACTTCCTCCTCCGACTCTGGCTGGGCAGGGCTCTGCTGATGAGCGATACCCTCCCATCTGACTGACTGCACCTACGTGTACACTGCGGTAACTAAGCAGAGGGTTGACTGATAGGGTGGTTGTTAAAACTTGCTGCAATGTTTCATTTCCATTTTGACTGAATTCACCACAGTCCTGTTAAACCAAAAATATAAAATTTGGCTTCCTTAGCATATAGACCATAGGGTTATACTTTTTATCTTTCTCTTATCTTCCCACTTCTAATTTCTTCCCTCTAAAATCCACAGCTGGAACCTCAAAAGCGGGTTTGAGGATCACATATCAGCATGGTGTTTGAGTTATGTTGGCAACGGAGGGTCTAGAGGAACAGGTAATTTGCTTCTAAGCCTCTCCTTCTGCCTGCAACACCTGGTCCTAGGAAGACAAATTCCGAATCCGTCTGTACCTAAAAGTCTTCATTCATAGAGTAGAATAAAAATACCTGGTCCCTCCTGAGGGGAAAGATCATAGGTGCTAAAGTGCTTTGAGCTACTCAGAGGAAAGGTGCATAACACAAACCTTTATTATTTCAGATAGCGAGACTACGTGGGAAGGGTCCATAGGCTGATAGTCATTCTACTGCTCAGAACACTACATAGACTGGCGACCTTTCCCATTCATCTCCCAACCCTGCCTGACATGGAAAAAATCCTTTTCATGAAATACAAAAGTTATCATGAGTGACAGTCCCTTTACCATGCTGATTGTCCAGACAAGCCAGCCAGTTACTGCTCAGGCAGCTGACATAAAATAGAGTAGATGTAATGCCAAAGTGACATGAAACTAAATTCAGAATAAAATTCCATCCCTCGGAGCATATTCCATGGGTTTTCTCTGCTCCTGCTTCTGCTGGTATCTGGCCTTCTGGTAGAAAATGACGATGACCACGGTGACAATGTTGAGGAGAATGACAAGCAGTATGAGCCAGAATGAGTATCCATAACTATGGGTTGTTCCTTCATTGGTGACTGTTGAATAAAGCGTCTGGGACAACTTTTCGGAGAGGTGATTGGACTCTGTGTTCCCCACAAACAGTATCATGGCCACGAAAATGAAGGATGCTGGAAAGAAGATCAAGTTTCATAAATGACATGGTGATACATTTTTTAATGCCACTTATTTTCTTAGAGGAATAATACTCTACGGGTGTTTATTGAAATCTGTACTGGGGTTTACATTCTTTCAAGCATTAGGGAGAAAGAAATGAAGGCACGAGCTACGCTTTTAGGCACCAAATGCTGGAAATTGTGCAGGACCCTGTGGACCGAGAGCAAATGCCTCAGCTCAGGTCCTTTCAGAAGCAGTGGCTGCACCACTGATCTACAAAACAGCCCTGTCTCAGGACAACATATGTCACAAGTGTGCTGAATGAGGGGGCGAGTCAACAGGAGAGTCAACAGGGAAACGCCAGAAGGGTCTGGATGGATGAACAAGGCTTGGAAAGGAAGGAAAACAGCATCGCAGATGGGAGAGGTGGCCTCGACTCAGGTGGGCAGTGAGGCTGGAGCATCGAGGACAGTGGGAGGAGCTCAGCCATGGACAGAGGTCCTCAGAGTCCTCAGCACTGGACACGTAAGTACGACCACCCTTGGAGAGCCTCGAATGGCAGCTCGGAAGCTTCAGTTTCACTCTACACGATGCCACGGGGAATAGCATTTAGCCAGGATGGATTTCCTCATTAAACTCATTTCAGAAGAGAATTTTTTTTTTATCTCCTATTTTTCTTTCCTCACAGTGTCCTCCCCTAGAGAATGTCCCTTAGAACAGACTTTGGAGAGTGCGTAGGCCTGGTTAGAAGCACATGGTGCCGGAGTCAGAGGGAGAGGGCTTGAGAGCCCTGGTGGCTTGACCTTGGACGAGTTGTGTGGCTTCTCTGAGCCTCATTCCTCATCTTCCAAGGGAGAAGATGGGGACAAAAGAGTAGATTCGCGGTTGTTCAGGGCTGGAGGTGGGCTGGGAGGGGGGTTAAAGGGCAGGGGGTTTCTTTCTGAGGTGACGTAATTCTGAAATTGACTGTGGCGATGGCTGCAAGTGCCTGAGAACATTCTAAAAGCCACTGAGTTGTCCACTTTAAATGGATGAATTATATGGTCTGGGAATCATGTCTCAATAAAGGTGTTATATAAAAGGTTCGGGCAAGAGGTTGAGGCTCTGGATATTGCAGGGCTCGCCCCCTCGGGTCTGACCATGCGTGGGTGGCCGTCAGGGAAATTCCCAGATGGAAGTCCTCCAGGACGCTGCATCTGCTGATGTGCACCCACAACTCAAAGGACATTTGCGCATCAAATGTATCCAGGCAATAACCCACGCCCGGGGAGGTTTTCCAAACGGCCCCCCAAAGGCACTAATTAGAGGGGTTTGTTGTGAGGAGGATGTTTAACAGTCCTTGATGACAGACCTTCGTCCTCCGTGCGATCGTTTTATTTCTTGGTAATCTGTACGTCCTAAAGCCCCAGTCCTCTGATGCTCTCTGGGCTCCCCACATGCCTTAATTATCCTTCATTCTCGTCTTGTGAAGTTCCTTATAAAAGCTTACTCATAAAGGGCCAGGATGAATGCAGGGTTAAAACTTTTTCCTAAAGTGGGCGGCCTAGAGCTTTGATTTGGTTTGGGAGGGGCCAACGCACGACACAGACACCAACCTGAGTCCCCTTTAGGGACAAGACACTGGAGCCTTGGACTCTTCGCTGCCTGCTTCTCCAGCTGCCTGGGACAGAAGGATTCACCAGGGGCTGGAAGAAGCCCTGGGGCAGATGAGGAGCTCCCGAAGTCTCAGGGACCCTGCCTTCTACACCGGCCTGTCACCACTGGGCCCGTGAACTGCCGCGTCCTTTTCTGCTCTCTGGGTTCCTCAGCTGTGGCATGAACGTATTTGGAGCAGACAGTCTGCAGAGACCCCTCTGGCCCTAACCTCCTCTGAGTGTACAGTAACATCTCCTGGCCCAGGCCAGGGTGGTGCAGAGGACGGGCTGGGGTGCGCACAGGACCTGGGAGGCGATGCAGCTATTTTTCTCCTCAAAGCACAATCTGCTCCCGTTGCTTCAGAAACAGCCAGAAAACCCACTCCTCTTCTGCCCTGCTAGACCCCACCCGCCATCTGCCAGCCAAGCAGAGCTTGTTCCAACTCAGCCCCCACAGGGGTTTGGGCCCTTCCCTCTGGCTCCAGGGCTCCCAGAAGTCAGCCTGACCCAGCCTTTCCGCCTCCCACTCCTCTTCTGCCCTGCTAGACCCCACCCGCCATCTGCCAGCCAAGCAGAGCTTGTTCAAACTCAGCCCCCACAGGGGTTTGGGCCCTTCCCTCTGGCTCCAGGGCTCCCAGAAGTCAGCCTGACCCAGCCTTTCCGCCGCAGGGACCCAAGGACGCTGCAGTGCCATCCCCATACCCAAGCCCTTCTGTAGGCTGAGCCTCCTGTGAGTGAGAGTTTTCACCAAGTTCTCCAGCTCTCCGAGTGGGTGCAGAGTGTCAGGAATCCCCAGAGAGCAACTCAGGACAAAGGTCTGGCTTATCCAAGCACTGGGACGGCGAGGCCTGGGCTAGAACACAGGTCCGCTCCCTGCACGCCAGCGTCTCAGATGGTTCTTCGCCCACCCAGCAGCCTGTGTCTGTGTCAGAACTTGCCCGTGAGCTGGGAAAGGGATGCGGCAGGCATTCTATCCCTGTCAAACAGTTCTCTGCTGATGGAAGTAGGCGGGGGTTGGGGAGAAGGCTGTCAGGCTCTTTTTTTCATATTTTCCTCCACAAACATGCACTGGGCCTCTGCCGTGTGCAGAGCCACCCTCTACTCAGCTATGGAGGAAAAGAGACATGGGAGCCACAGTCTGTGGGAAATGGGTTTCCTTCCTGCCAGAAGCCTGGGCTCTGAACCCTGCAGGCTGCAGGCACTGCAAAGCTGGCCCCACGTCTGACCCTCTGCTCTGGCACTAATGCCCATTCTCCTCTGTGGGCAGGAAAGGCTGACCCCAGCCCCAGCTCCAGGGTAGGCAGGTGTCCTCAGCCAGCTGGAGATTGGTGGAGGAACAGGCAATTCCAGAGAGAATCAGGCCCAGACTTTCTCTTAGCTGCTTGGAAGGAAGTCTTTTCTCCTGGGCCGCAGCCGCCTTACCTTTAAGGGGAACCAAGCTGCTGCTTAACGACAGAGCAACCGCTGAGGAAATCCAGAGATGGAGGGATAGAGGGAAACAGGGTCCTCATTGCATGGTCAGAGCGAGACCTGAATCCAGCTGTGCCTGAAGCCACTACTCTCTTTAGCTTCTTAATTACTTGAGCAAAAATAAAAATAATCTGTTCTCCACCCTGGCATTGAGTGCCAATCGGTTTACCTTTGGTTTGACCGACTCAGGTGAACTATAATCACAGAAATAGCTTGGGCACGGAACCCGGGCATTTGAGTGAGTATATCTGAGTTTGTAACCGTGTCCCTTAACCTCTGATGCTGAGCTCCTGCAAGGTGGAAAGCCATAATATTGGTTCCACAGGACAGCTGTGCCTGGCCCTTAGTGGATGCCCATTAAATTGGGGGATTTGTATGTTTTTACCACTAGGCAAAAAAGCACAAAAGAGCCAGTCATAAACAAACGTGGCTTAACTAGCCTGACCCCCAAGTCCTTGGAACTGGGGTGTGAGTGTGTAATGTGACCTCGAGTCCAAATTTGCCAGGGACAGTCCCAGTTTCCCCCATTGTCCTGGGTCAATGGTTAAGTGTTGGCCATTGCACTCTAGCAGGCACGCTGCTTCCTGCCACCCGTGCCATGCTGGGGTGGCTTGTGCCTCTCAACTCCACGTTCAGTAACCTCATGCTGGGAGCTTGAACGTGGCCACCGCAGATGTGTCTGCATCACGTGGATCAGCCCGTGCTACAGCCAGGCCTTTTTCTCCTTTTGTTGCCCCATCACAGACATGGTTGTTCGCTGTTCTCCAGCTCGTTCCTGCTGGTAGCTGTGGCATTGAGTCACAGGGCCTCTTCTAGCCACAGGCACCAGGCTAGCAGTAAGGCTGGCCTTCCACAGAAGGACAGGATGAGGCACCTACTGTTCCTCCTCCGAAGCTTCCTGACACCCCAATATCCAGAGCATCTTTCCGTGTTTGAACATTTCTGGCCTGTGCTAAAATGTTTCACCTGAAACTCACATGATGCCACCTGTGGAATCATCTCCTTAGGAGGACAGGCTTGGCTCCCAAGATCAGGTTTCAGTGGTGGAGACAGGGAGTGAGCAGCAGAAACCCACTACCCGGCAGGGCAGGGACTTGAAGGCGGGCTGGGCGGGGCGAAGAGTCGCCCACTGGTCCTACCTCTGGGCAGCCGTGGAGTTGCGGAGCCCTGGTAACCCCCCGTGAGAGCCCAGAATACTGTGAGTCCAAGCCGGGATTCACTTCCTGTCTGGCTGCATCCTCCACCCCAACACAGACAACCTAGCAACACCGCACAGAACACCTTGCGCTCACACACAGCCCACAAGAAGGGTGTTGGCCCCAGAGTCTCCAAAATGACATTATTGTGGCACAATTGTGCAGATGTGATGTGTCATGTTTGGAGCTCACGTTGACTCTTGTTACATGGAAGAGAGAAGGAAAGTAAACAGGTGTGTGTGTGTGTTTGTATGCGCTGTGTACACATGTGCACGTGTGTCCTCCCATAAGTCACATGGAGCCTAGTTTGGAGTTAAACACATAGCAAAAGCCCAGTGAAGGTTTTGTTGATTTATATGTATTTTGTTTGACTCCTTAAATTAGATTCTCAGAAGCAAAGGCTGGCTTATACTATACACCTTAACTCTTCACCCCATTCCTTACTTCTGACCAGTGCATTTAACACAATTCTTTTTCCAGAGATGCTTAATAAATGCTGTAGATTGACCGAAATAAGCTGCAATCCCCAGCACAAGCCCCAGCCCGTCATAGGCCCCAGTAATTCCATGACATGAGCGTGATTGTGTTCACGTGCACGAGGGAGAGGGGGCGAGGTGGGGACAAGACAGACGTGGTTCTCTGGGACACTCACCGCCCAGTGCATTCCAGGTGTACACCCCCACTGGTCCCAGGAACGTCTGGTAGGGGTTGCTGATGCTGTTGTACAGGGTAAACCCAGAACTCAGCAGCGAGGTAAACAAGCTGAGGGCCAGGAACAGGATAGCCACCAGATGCAGAGTTTTCTGGGAAGAATTGTTCAATATTCCTAGAACTGAAACAATGTTTGGTAAGTTCATAACACAAACACCAACTTCACATCCCACCCTCTTAGGGACTTGAGTCAGGGATTGTCGAGCGTGGGTGGGAGATGCGTGTATCTCTATATCATGCAAGAATGAGCCCCGTGTTCCTCGCTGTAGGCCCACTGTGGAATCTGCGACTGAATGAGTGTAACTGCAGTGCTTCAGATGACTGGACATTCATCCCAGTGTTAAAGTCCGCTAGGAAAGAGTGCGCCCTCCCTAATACCTGCAGCAGGGCTTGACAGCCTTGCCGTGTGTGCGCTCTGGCCTCCGATCCTTGCCAGTGGGCTTCGTCACAGTTTCATCAGACAGCGCCTCTTTTACACTGAGCACTAACTCAGCTTCCGCCTGGAGACGTTTACAGGGTGAGTCACTCTGAGAACCTGTGCACGGTGAGGATCCCATCAGCCCTGGGGCTTCTGTGATCCTCCAGTGAGCCAGGGGTGGCTATCAGCAGAGAAAGCCAGGAGAGAAAGGGCTGACAGAGGTGGCCAGGGAGGTGAGAGCCAAAGGCTGGCCATGGGGACAAGAAAATGACTTCTGTTGATGCAAACAGAGGTGTTAGCCCTTCTTCCAGACTCCACTTCTCTGGAGCCAGAGAGCACCTGTCTCAGTCCATGTTCTGTGGTTTATAACAGAGAAACTGGGTAATTTATGGTCTGTTTTCTGTTGCTCATAACACAATATCTGAAACTGGGTAATTGATAAAGAAACAAAATGTATTTCTTACAGTTCTGGAAGCTGGGAAGTCCTAGGTCAAGGGGCCATATCTTAAAGACCTCACCTTTCAAATACCATAGTCAGATTTCCCACTCTCTTAATACCGTAACAAGTGGACGAAGTTTCAACACGAGTTTTGGAGGGGACAAACATTTAAACCACAGCATCACCCAGAGCCATGGGGCTCCAGTGCTGCAGGAAGCTGGGAATTTGTGTGAGACTTCAGATGCCTTTCCAAGCTAATTTCTTCTGAATTCTAATAGCATTTTATAAAATGTTATATTTCTTCAGTGCAAAGGAGCTCCGGATGTGGACCTACCCCATGAAAACTGAAACAAAGGTGCCTGGGCCATTAGCACCAGTTCCTGCTCTTGCCATGCAGCCTCTGACCACCACCAGCCTTCCTCCCCGAGCACCTGTCTCCTCTGCTAGCCCCGGTGCTTGCAGCACAAACGACCAGACACCACCGAGTGCATTTACTGTGCAACCCAGCCACACGTCTACAAAACATCTCCACGGGCTGTCGGTGTGAGAGGCCCTGAGGAGAGGGCCGCCACGTTAATAAAGTGTTTACAGAGATGTTCTATGAAAGTCACAATGACAAAAGGAAAAAGTAATCCGGGAGAAAGATTCCAGAGTTGATAATAATATACTAACAAAATCATAGGGAATTGCAAGGTATAATAACCACAGTGAGGTGGGTAAGCAACAGTAAAAGCCTCTTTCTTTCTGTTCCTTCTTCTCAGGTCCCCAGGGACAGAACTGTGGGGACGCTCACATCCTTGCCCAGAGCAGCTTTAAAGAACAGAAACCAGACAGGGCAGTTAAGGTTGCTTGTTTCTGGGGCCTGGGGTGGGGGTGGGGGGTGGGGGTGTTCCTTCAGCATTCTGCCCTGGGGACCCAGGCTTTCCCTCCATAACCACAGTGTCTCAAAGAACAGGGCATGGCAGCTAGGAGACCCCACGGTGCTGTGAGCACCACGGGAGGGACCCCAAGTCTCCTCCTCAAACGTGTGCAGTGGCCAGAGCCCTCTCTTTGCAGGTTGGCTCTTTCCCTCCCTGCATCGCCTTAATTATCTGAAAGTTCTTCACTGTGATGAGCCCAAATATGCATCTTCACGACTTGTACCCAGCAGTCCCAGTGACCCAGTTCTTCCTGTGGAACAACACAGAATTCACTAGTTCCTCTCCCACCTGGCGGCCTTTCCAAATATTTGAGGAGGGATATAAACCCTGACGTGGTTAACAGCCCCCATCTCTGCAGAGCTCTTCGTGAGGCCTGAGTCCAAAGCCCCTGCCAGCCTGTCCCCCTCCCCCCACACTTTAGTCCTACCCTATTCCTAAAGCCTTTCATCCACAATGGACACAGGACTTCCGATGAGATCTGAAGGAGTATGTTCTCACTCCATTTTTTATTTTATTTTATTTTTTTGCTTTTTAATCAGCAGTGCTCTGTGGGGAGATAAACTTCCTACCTTTGGACAGAGAGTGGACTTGAATGAGATGTGGCTGGCGCATCTGCAATTGGGCATCTGAGACCCGCCCTCAGGGGCTGGTAGCAAAGGAGTCTTACTGAAAAAATCCAGAGAGCACAGGCATCCCATCCCGAGAGGCATGTGTCGCGTGGCTGAGCCCAGGGCCAGAAGCCTCCCCAGATGGGCAGCAGGAGGGGCGGGCCATGGCAGTGCTGGGGAAGGCAGGGCAGAGGGGGTGAGGGCTGGCAGCGAGAAGGTGCAGGAAAGACAAGGGGTGGGCAGGAGAAGGCGAACGAGTGTGGCACCCTGGCCACATGGCCCTTAAAAACCCACAGGAGGACGGAGCGAACAGAAGAGGGGGACTTATCAGCTCAGCCACACACAGACGGTGATGTCACCACCCCTGGCTGGAGAACGTTTTGCTCCTCAGGCAGGACTGGGAGCAAAGTTCGACTCACTAGGTACAGCCTCCTTGCATGTTGTGGAGACGGACTGTTTCGCAATTTCTGCGGATGACCCATGGCACGTAGTTAAATCCCCGCATAGGCCTCTGCTGTGCCCCCGGGTGAGAACTCTCATGGGGCAGGCGCTGACCAACAAGCGTGGTCACCACCTGCCATTGCCCGGCGGGGATGGGCGGGAGGGGCCACCTGGGCTGGGACTGAGTCTCCGGCCTCTCCCTCCTGCCCAAGGGACTCCTACTGCTAGAACTACTGCACACACCTGTTTGAAGCTAGAGGAAGGTGACATATGGGGAAGAGCAGGAAAAAGTGACAGCAGTGAGCAGGACACACCTGTTCAGAGGCACAGGCGGGATGCTGCAGGTGTGTCCAGGCTTCTCCCCCATTGCGGGAAGTCCCTCCCTGTTCCCACTCACGAGCTTCTCCTGGGCACTGAAGGGGAAGCTCTGGGATCTCTTCAGAAGTTTGCTGGAGACTTCGTGAACTCTCTCCATAACAAAGTTTGGTAGCCAATAAGAAATAATTTGGGGGCCGGCCCGTGGCTCACTCGGGAGTGCGGTGCTGATAACACCAAGGCCACGGGTTCGGATCTCATATAGAGATGGCCGGTTGCTCACTGGGTGAGCGTGGTGCTGACAACACCAAGTCAAGGGTTAAGATCCCCTTACCAGTCACCTTTAAAAAAAATAAAGAAAGAAAGAAATAATTTGGATACTTGACTAGAAAAAGGAAACTTCAGTGACAGAAACATGTCCAGTGTCTAAGGCACCTGAAGTGCCCTATGACAACACCAAGTCAAGGGTTAAGATCCCCTTACCAGTCACCTTTAAAAAAAAAAAAGAAAGAAAGAAATAATTTGGATACTTGACTAGAAAAAGGAAACTTCAGTGACAGAAACATGTCCAGTGTCTAAGGCACCTGAAGTGCCCTAGAGTATTTTCTGCTTTACACACTTATGAAAGTCATAGATGGATGTTCATTCATAAGTGGGTAACATTCGACTTTAAATTAGAAAGTGACGATCGAATTTAGCTTTGTTTTTGACTTCTGGAAAGATCTAGTAGCTGTGATTTCCCAAAAGGGAGTCAATTTGGGGCCTGTTGGCTCAGACTAAGGTGACAATTTACCTTAATTTTAACTGCTGCGTTTTAAAATGACTTCTCAGCATTCTGAATCCCCTGCCACCTGGGTATGACCGCTGTATCTTCCCTGTAGCTTGTGGCTCAGAACTCAGACAACGAAAGCTGGAAATTCAGTGAAAGTTAGCAAGAATGGAGTAACAATAAACAGCCCTAGCATCTGACAGCTGCTCTCTGCCTACAAAATTAGCAGATACATTCTGTTCTTTTTCTTCTGTTTAAGGGACAAGCATCTGAATACAGAAAGCCACCTCACAATTGGAACTAATTGCCCTGATTCTGGCAGCCTGAAGAAAGAGGCCGAGAACCCCACAGCCACAGCAATAAGCACCCGGCCCATGGCCCTACAGCTGGGAGGCAGAAATGAGGGTCATCCGGACATCCGGGCTCCCCACACGGGGAGATTTAACCACCTCAGTTTCCCCATTGGGAGGTTCTCCATCTACCCTCCAACTTCTGGTTTGCCTAAGTCCTCAGACATTGAGGAGGAGCCAGTGGCTTTGTGGGTGGGTGGAACTGCCTCTAGTCCTTTCTCAACACCTGGCTACCAGGGAGCCTAACGAGGTGCCTGCCTGAATTCGTGTACCACAGTGCAACACCGGAGGGGCTCAATATGTCGGCAGATCTCAGAGTGCGACCTGAGAGCTCTCCCAGGAAGTCCCAGCTGGTGCCGCAGCCTCTTAGAAAGTTGCCAGGGTTCTCTTTGGGAGAAGAGTGACCCAAGCCCTGGGAGGCATCTTTTCTGCCCCCTATATTCCCACCTCCCAGTGTGGTCACATCTCTGGGGGCAGACGATAAGTAGCTCCCCTTCAGGAAAAGTGTCCTTGTACATATGGTGTGGGTGATCAGTGGAACTAGTAAGATAGGGGCTCTTTGTAAATTCTAGAGAAATAAACAGCATTTGTTCTTCTCTTTGCAATTAATTAGTTTTTGCACAGATTTATTTTCCTGATTATTTTTAGCTTAGGCTGATGGTGCAATATGGAGTTCCCTGAGAACAAATGGGGGTTAGGGGAGAAGCCAGATGGGGTGAAACTCCTGCCAGCAAATGCAGCACTCAGAGGCTAGCCGGGTTCTTAGGCTGTTTCTCAGCCCACCTTGATTCGTCTGCAAGGTTGTGTCCAGAGCTTTCTCCAATAAATTAACTTCCAGCAGGCCACACCCCAGGGGCTTAAAAACAATACTCAACACAGTGACATGTATCTGTCGATCTAGCGCCTGGCCATGGGAAGCTGGCGGTTGCCAACCCCAGATTAGAACCACTCCGTGTTAAAATTACCTGGAAAGATTTTTAAAGCAAGCAGGTCGGGGCCTCACTCCCTGAGATTCTTATTCAGTTTATCCAGGGAGGGTCCTGTGCAGGGATTCCTTACCAGCATCCCGGGTGATCCCACCTTCAGCCCAGAGAATCACATTGTAGGCAATGTGATTGCTCAAAGTTCCACATCCCTGCAAGCCCTAAGTATGAGTGATTCATTTTGTCACTATTGCCAGTGTCACCTTACACCCCTTGGACCAAGACTACATTTTCAAAAAACATAGCTAAGGGAATGACTTCTTTTTAAGGGCCCTGTTTATACAGCACCCAAAATCCAAAGGAGGCAAACCATCACGAGCGTGAGCTCATGTTCTAGCAGCTCATTCTTCAGGATTCTCTCCTCTGAGGAGTCTTTGCACATCCCACAAAAGCGTGAGCTCATGTTCTAGCAGCTCATTCTTCAGGATTCTCTCCTCTGAGGAGTCTTTGCAGACACACGTTTTCCAGCACATCCCACAACATGGCAGATCCTATGCAGAAATACAGCAGAGCTCTGTGAAGTTTATCACTCTTTGGAAATT